ACTGAGCTACATCCCGGCCTTGTGGTTCTCTCTTCTGAGATAGCTGAAGTCCCTCAGCAGGGCCATCGGAGGGGAATCTGCTGATCATGTTTAAACTTGGTGTTCAGTTTTCTTCCTCTGAGGAGGGAACTCTCCCCCCACCCCCGGCCCCCGGCTGTCACCATAGTGCCACTTAGGCAACCTGCTCAGGCTCCTCCTTTGCCAGCAGGGACCCGGCAGCAGGAGGGCTCACCCTACTGAGAGGACCAGAAACTCACCTCGGGCACTTGAAGCTGGACAAAGGTTTCTCTGCTGGGCAGACAGCACCCTTGTCTCAGACATTCTGCAAAATTCCATTTACACAAAGCCCAGCACACAAATGGTGCACCCGGAGCCCGGCATCTGGAAGACTGCAAAGGCTCACTCTTCACCAGTGAAGGGGGCAGGGGCAGAGTGGAAAAGGCCCCAAATCAGACAGACCAGAGCTTGAGTCCTATTCTCTAGTGACCTGAGCCTCTAGGAACGTTTGTTTTCCTGTCTAGAGTACCTACTTTCAAGAGCTGTTGTACAGATTAAGATTGAAAGAAAAAGCCGGGGATTTAGCTCAGTGGTTTTGCAGCCTGCTGTGCAAGTGCAAGGACCTGAGTTCGATGCCCGGTACCAAAAAAAAAAGAAAAAAAAGATTGAAAGAAAAGAGTTCAGACTCATGCTTGCCATAACAGGGATTCAGTAACTAATAATAATCATTGCCACCAATATTATAGATTCATACAACCCCTCTGTCTACAGCCTTCGATGGCTCCCTATTGCCTATACAAGGGTTCAAGCTTCCTAAATACCCAATCAAGGGTCCTCCATTATTCATACCCATGAGCCTAGTCACTCCAGCTCCTCAGCCTTGCCCCAAGACCACCTCACTTCTTTCTGTAACTGTCCTGCCATTTCCCTGACCAGAGGGCTCTTCTCCAAGCCCTAACCCCACCATCCCTGATGCTCGGCTGGAATCACCTTCTCACTCAGTCACGCTCTGACAGTAGACTGGATGCCATGCGAAGAGGGCGGTAAGCTTCCTGGTCAGGTACTGTAAATGCTCTGCAAATATACACCAGTTCTCACTCCAACAAGCTGCTATTATGACCCCATTTTACTTTTTTTATTGTCATTGTTTTACGGTGCTAGGGATTGAAACCCTGGGCCTCCTGCATGCTACGCAAGCACTATACTAGCCCTGTTGGTCCATTTTATTTATTATTATTTTTCTTTTGTTGAGACAGGATCTTACTATGTAGTTCAGGCTGGCCTTGAGCTTGTGGCGATCCCCCTGCCTCAGCCTCTGGGGTACTGGGATTGCAGTCATGCACTGCCATGCCTCGCTTGCCCCATTTTATAGATGAGGAAATAGATGCCCAGAGAGAATGACTTCTTCAAGGTCAAACAGTCCTAAGAGGCACAGCGGGGATTTGAACCCAAACTGGGTCAGGCTGGGCCCCTGTCTTCCTTTCTTCTGCTGGAATTCAGTTTCTCAGCTCTGTCTTCCTATCACTCTGAGACTTGCTCTCTTCCAACACCAGTCACAAGGCTCTGTGGCTCCCTAGCCAGGTGACCTTGGGCAAGTTGTCCGCTTAGGCTGACCCTGCACCTCACCAGGTTGCAGGCAGATGATGCTGGCAGCGGCACATGTGGAGCCCGTGGCCCAGGGGCCAGCCCAAAGCAAGAGCCAGATCACCCAGAGCAGGATGATCACTTTGGGATGTGTGCAGAGGAGGGACTGTGATTTCACCATGTCGCCTCCCCACTCCGCTCAATGAAGTCTCATGATCTGAGCATTTCCCTTCCAACTCCCTGGCACAGAACTCGCAGCCACTTGTGAACTGCTCCAGACCAGGAACAAAAGGGTGCTGGTGGGCAGAGAACCCGAGGAGGCAGATAATCCAAAAATAATTGATCCCAGGTCATGGAAAGCATTTTGTTTACGGTGGCAGGCTGACCTTCCCAATTATCATCTGCTTAGGCTAGCATTACAGCCTGCCCTCCCCTGCGGCCAGATTGCCGAGGTCCTTCGGGGGACAGGATCAGGCCCAGGCTGGCTGTCCAGCGCCCAGAGGAAACCTGAGGCGGATGGCCTGCAGCAAGGCCTCCCAGGGTCCCCTCTGGCCAGGAGCACCGGGGACACAGATCCTAGCCACAGGCAGGGCCCCTGCCCTCCTTTCATTTCTGCAATGCCCAGGGGAGGGTGGCTGTTTGCAGAAAAGCTGTTAGGAGAGGGAATGGCATCTGCAAACCACAAAGAGTCCCAATCCTGAAATTCCTCAACCCTTCCTTCACCCAGTGCAGCCTCATAATGAATCTTTACGTGGCCCAAGGGGAGACACTGTTTTTCTTGGCAGTACTGGGCACTGAAGCCACAACCTTGCTCATGCCAGGCAAGTGCTTTACCATCGAGCTGCACCCCAGCTCTGAGAGTAGGTTCTTTCTACCTTTAGACACAGGAGAAAACAGACTTCAAAGCAGTCAAGCCACATGCCCCAGGCCTGCCAGCCTGTCCCTAACACTGAACTGGCACCTGGCCAGGCCCCTCCACCGCCAAGTGGGAAGTGGGGAATCACTCACTCCCCAGCAGGCCTTTTGGGGGACCTTCCCTCAGCCTCACCTCCAGAGCAGATGAATTCAGCATCCCCGACAACCCTCCCACCCCTGGGGTCCAAACATCACAACAGCTCCTTGGGCTCTCCAGATCTGGAGGAAGGAAGCCCTCTGGGGGCAGGAAGCTGGTGCTGCTGACTCACAGGCCAAGGGGGAGTAATCCAGGAAACTTGTCACTGTCACCATGGCTTTGGGGCTGCCTGGCACCCCTTCCTCTCTGAGACTCCCTCAAGGGTTGGGTATTGGCTCTGGGGGCGGTGCAGGGTCAGACTGCCCACCCTGCACCGGAATCTCTCCCAGAAAAATGCTCTGCTAACTGTTGCCCCAGATGGAGGCTATCAGGGTTCAGACCTTCTCCACCTGCAGAACTTAGGGGAGGCCATCAGCCAGCAGAGCCACCCAGTCGGAGGAAAATAAGGGCCCCAAGGAGATGGTAAGGGGGAGCAAAGCCCACCTGTGTCACAGGCTGCCCAGCCTCCCTTCCCCGAACTGCTTTTAGGAAGCAAAGGAAGAGAAGTTGAGAAGTTGCTTCAAAGGAAGAGAAGTTGAGAAGACAGGAAAGTGTCACCATCTGACCCTTATCTCTGCTGGGGTGAGAAGGGGCAGCTACGATTTATGATGCCCAGAAGGCTTTTTGTTTGTTGCAGTACTGAGGACTGAACCCAGCCTTTGCTCTGAGCTGCATCCTCACACCCCTCTTCATTTTTTTGAACACAGGGTATATGTTGACTAAGCTGAGTTTGAACTTTGGATCCTCCTGCCTCAGCCTCCCAGAGCGCTAGAATTACAGGCATATGTATTCCATCATGCGAGCCCAGTTTGGGTCCCACCATCTCAAACCCAGAGCACTGGGGAGACACACGGACGGACGGACAGACACACATGGACACGGACACACACACACACACACACACACACACACACACACACACATGAAACTGGTGGTTCCCTCCCCTCAAGGTGTAAAACTTTCTTTGGCTTCAAAGAGACTTTTGCTCATTCCCTAGGCCCAGTCCCACCTTGTCTCCGGCTAGACACTGACCAGAGCTCCATACATCACAAACACCACATGTACCTAGCTATGGATGCCAGCAGACCTAGGTTCAAATCCTGCCCTGACAGATGAGTTCCTGGCCTTGTGAAAGTCCCCTGACAGACCGGAAGGTCTGCAGAGGAAGGAGCGAGTTCAGGAGTGAGGAGTCTATCCCGAGCCTGGGGCTCAGGGAGTGTTGGGTAAATGTCAACTATTCTTGGAGATTCTGTAGGCATCAGGCAGGGGCTGATCTCTCACAATTCATCATGTTGGCCCAAACTGAAAACTAGAAAGGCACCTCTTCACTTTCTCTTTCTCTCTGCTTTCTTCCTCCTTCTGAAGGGTGCCTTCAATTCCATTCTTAAAGTCAGAGAAACTTTTGCAGAGCAGTCTGCATGTTATCGTTTTGGAAATCAAGTTCCAGACAAGGAGTGACCAGCCTGAGGTAACACGGGCAGCAAGTGGCAGAGCTGAGCGCTCTGCTTTCCGATCCCGCATCTCCCGGCTCTCCCACAGTGGCCCACTTGTTTGCAGAACACAGGGAGAGACCCAGACACACTCTATTCCCAAGCAAACACCCTGCTGCGGCCACTCCCTTCCTCAAGGCCAAGGGCTGAGCTCACTCACTGGGGAAGGAGTGCTGGGAGGGGGACCCCATTTGCACAAGCTGATGTCACCTAAAGTGACAATCATATAGTTGTTAAGTAGTGCTGGGCCCCAGGGTTCCCCTTCTCCCAGGCTGCGGCCTCACCCACCCCAGCCCTCAGAAGCTTCTCTCGGGGCACAGAGGGTGGGAGCCATGCCACCTCCGCATCAATCAAGGTTAGGGAAACGTGTACCACCCTCCTCCCCCACACCCAGTGACTCAGTGGAGAGTTTCTGCAGAACTGAGGTAGCGAGTGGTTGTCAAAGCCCAGGCTGAGGCTCTGGAAAATGTGCACAAGGGTGTCAGGAAATAGAAGCCAATAAACAAATAAATACCTTCCAGCCTCAGGTGTGGGGGCACGACAGCTCTCCTCGTGTCACACTTCCTAACACCTGCCCCGAAGTGGGTCGGCCCCCGCGATCCCTCCTTTCCGCACGCACAGCCGGACTCTGTTCTAACTTAGTTCTAACTTCAGGGACTCATGTTTCCGGCCGTGTCCCTTCCATTTTTGCCGCCGCGAGCTCGCCCATCTGGAGGCACCCTAGTCCCCCAAGTGTGGGAACCTGCACAGCTAGTCACCGCCCCGCTTCGGGTGTTCCCGTCGCGCCCTCGCCCCGGCTGCCAGGGCCTGCTCCCCACGGCCCTGTCGGGGCTGCGGGAGGAGCGGCGGCGGGGGCAGGGCAGGGCGGCCGAGCTCACCATGGCGAAGCCGGAGAGCAGCGCCGAGGTCCGGCTGGAGGCTTTGAGCTTGGCGCGGCTCAAGTACAGCTTGCGCCAGGACAGCGCCTGCATCGAGTGCTCGTTGAGACTCATCACCTCGGAGTAGCTCTGGCCTACCCAGTCCGGGTAGCCGACGGCGGGCTGCGGCGGGGACCCCGGGGGCTCCCCGTCCCCGCTGTGGCGACCGCTCCGGCGGCTCCCGCTGCCACCAAGGGGAAGCTCCGGGCTGCTGCTTCTCGGGGGCGGGGCGGGCTCCGGACGCATGAAGCACGCGGCACCACCAGCGGCCGGCCGGCGGCACCCTCGCCGGCGCCCCGCCGCGGGCCCGGCCTCACCCAGCGGGACGGGGAGGTCGGACAAACGCCTGCAGCCCGGGTCGCAGCGCAGCTCGCCAGAGAGCCAGGCACAGCCGCGACGCGAGCCCGCACGCCAGCCAGCGTCCCGTCCCGGGCCCGGACCCTTGGCGCAAGCTGCGATTGGCCGCCGCCCGGGATTATTTGCATACTCCCCGCCCATCAGGAAGCCCAGGCCACGGAAACGGGCGGTGTCGATAAGGACATGTGATCCTCGCGCCCGACGGCCCCGCCCACAATCCCTGGCTCACCGCCTTCCGTCCCCGCCCCTTCCTGGAACCGCCTCTCCCCGCCCGGCTCCCCCCCCTCCCGCCCACGGCCCCGCCCACCTTGGCAGCTGCTCCACCGCCTGGCTCCTGCCGCCCGGCTCGCGGGTCGGGTCGGCCGCCTGAGGTCAACCTTTGCGCGCCGCCTGAGGCCCGCTTTCCCCTTGGAGCAAGGTGGCGCAACATCTGTTGGAAAAGAGCGAGCGCGGGTCGAGAGCTCAGTCAGTATCTGTCAGCGCCTCCGGGGCCCGCACCTGAGGTGGAGAGCGGACGGGCTGACCCGGCGAACCGCGCTCTGGGAGCCGCGTCCTGCTGCAAGCGACGCGCACACGCCCGTGAAATTAATGGTTCAGAGAGCTGTCTGTGTGGAGGAATGAAGCAGAGTAAGCGGGTGGTAGTAAGGGCGCTGCCATTCTTTCCTTCCTTCGTACCGGGGGTCGAACTTGGGCTTGTGAGGCAGGGGCGGGAACCACCAAGCTAAATCCCCGGCCCTCTCTTTTTGAGACAGGGTCTCACTATGTAGTTCAGGCCTGGACTCGAGATACTCATGCCTCAGCCTCCCAGAGTGCTGGGGTTACAGGCCTGGGGGTTACACACCTGGCTAGAGAAGCTGAGGGATTCTAGGGAAACAGCCTTCGTGGAATCCCATTTTGACAGACAGTGAACAAATGCGTTCACGCTCTTCTGAGGAGGTCACGTTGGAGCGGAGACCCAAGCCTTGCCCTGCGGCGGGTGTCTCTAGCTGTTGGCCCATTGAAAGGTCAATCAATTTTGTTTTGAGTCCCCAGCAAAGGGACTGTCCTGTAGGATGTCAACTCCAGCACAGGAAGAGGCACTGTTGGCTTCACAGCTCTCCTCTCAGCAGCCACTATATTGCGTGGCACACATTCACATTCAGGAAATATTGTTGAATGAATAAATGTGAAACAGGAATTAGTGACAGAATTAGCCCATTGTCTAGGCACCAACCAAGCTACATTCAGGGTCCGCGATGTGAGTTTAAGTCCTGTCACCAGTAGAGGGAGCCCCTGCGCCCACCCATAGTAAGGGCCAGCACTGGACGCCCCTGCCCCGCCCC